CCTGCGTCGGGCTCCCTGCTCGGTGGGGAGTCTGCTTCTCCTTCTCCATCTGCCCCTCTCCCTGCTTGTGCTCTGTCTCTCTCTCTCAAATAAATAAATAAAATCTTCAAAAAAAAAAATCAAAACCAAAAATGTAATGTGTTACACTGCACTCACTGTTAATACATGGAAAAAGATGGTTGCCAAGAAAAAAAAAGTGCAACTCCATGTGTTTTATGGTATGATAACTAAGGCCTGTATAGATTCTGATGTTGATTTCTGATCAGATACTGGACATTCCCTCTAGATGTCATTGAAGGCGTAAGTAATTATTCCCTGCCAGTGATTAATTTTTCCATGTATGAACATGTTAACTTTGTGAAGATGTTAGTCTGCAACTTTAACTACTTCTGTCATCTAATGACTAAATGAGATTTGCTCTTTACAAAGCTTTCACATCTTACAAGTTTATTCTGAGCACCACGAGATAGCACATTCTCCACACAATTCATCTACCTGTCCGGCAGTCGGTTTCGTGTCTCCAGTTACCACCTTAATGGATGTGCTTTTCCCAGCTCCATTGTGTCCTAATAATCCTAAAACCGCACCTGAAAAAAAAATTGGTTGCACTTAATATGAATTGACTTTAATAGTAAAATTAAGAATAAAACATAGTCTGAAGTCTTGCTATGTGACAAGTGTCGTGCTCTGTGCTTTGTATACGGTGTCTCATCTACTCATCAAGCCTGAGAGGCTGTTGTCATAATCCCTGTGTACATATTTGGGGATGGCTCTCAGAGATGAGGTTAGCTGCCCACGGTCACACCGATGGGAAGGGGTAAAGCCCCTCTTGGAAGCCAGTGTGTCAGACTCTGTCTCCTGTGACCCTAAGTACTGTGGTCAGTACACAAAATGAGGTCATCTCAACAGCTGCTGGTCAAGCCTTCAGACTGCACTGGGCACAACCCCAGTTCGTTCTCTTATGAAATAGAACAAACGCTAGGAAATCAATCATGCTCACGAAATAGATACGTCATGGCTTCAGTGGTTTGTTTTAATAGAGTGCTTATGGTTTCCGTGTAGATGCTGATTAATTCAACTTAGAAATGGGACATGTCGAAGGTGCTGTCAAGGTCACCTGCTGATGTGTCTGTGTGGGAAACCAAGAGGCGATGTACAGAACGATTCTCATCAAGACATAATAAAGCTCATGAGGGCCCCAGGCCACCAGGGGAAGGGCCATAGGGGTCAAACCTTTTCTAACACAGAAAGAGACATTTCTTGTGGCGATTTTCTTCTTCCTCTTGGAAAAGCAGCATATCCTTTTCCCTGCATACTCTTTGCGCAGGCAGCTGGAGATAATGACCGGTTTCTGTAGGTAAATCACATCAGACCTTAATTCTCTCCATGAACTTTGAACCTCTGTCCTCCCATTGGTGTGGCCCCTCACAACACAAGCCCTGCCATCACAGGAGACCTTCCATGAGGGGACACCTTTCCTGGCCATTCTCCAATCCTGGTCCTCAGTCTTGGAGAGAAGAGATGGTCGTTTTCCCCTCCTACCAAGGCAGTTACTCAGAAGCACATTATTCTCTGCAGAACAGGAGCAAAGAGACTTGGAGAAGTACTGAGTCCTGCTCTAAGGACAAGACAACGGGCTGCCGACCAGACTTTTCCCTGCAGTCCGTACAGTGCCATTCTCCAAGGAGTAGTGCTAATGTGTCGCTTTTTTCCCATTCTAAAATTCACAAGTTCTGGGGCACCTGGCTGGCTCAGTCAGTGAAGCGTCTGCCTTCAGCTCAGGTCATGATCTCAGGGTCCTGGGATCGAGCCCCACCTAGGACTCCCTGCTCAGCAGAGAGTCTGCTTCTCCCTCTCCCTCTGCCCCGCCTCCCCTCCCCCGACCCCCACCTCCCCTACCCCTGCATGTGGGCTGTTTCAAATAAATAAATAAAATCTTTAAAAAATAAAATAAAGTTCTTTCTTGGCTTTTGCAACTTCAGTTGTACTCCATTTCTTGGTTTTTACTCCAAGGACAACAAACTGAGGTGACGTGACTTTTAATCTGTTTGTTTCAATGTCAACAAGATGATTACTTACTAAAAGGAAGTCATGATCTGTGCTTGTATGGACAGGATTATTTGAGGATCAGACTCGTAGACTGACTACGTTAACTGACCAACGTTGGTGTTATTTGATGAAACGAGTACTGCATAGGTGTTACCTCATCAAAGTTTGTGGAATTCAAGGCATCTGCTGTTCTCATTCTTTCCAGTTGAACATCTTCATCCTCCCCTTCTGGTGCTTCTGGATTTTGATAAACATCATTGCTTCTTGGAGAAATTCTAGAGTCAAGAGCCATCCATGAATCATTGATACGGGGTTTTCATCCTTGTATTAAGAATAGTGCATTCTTTAAATCTTATGCTTTGAGTAGGTTGGGTAATTAATAAACTATCATAACCTCCTTTCAGTGAGGTGACTCTTCCTCCCTTCCCAACCTAGTTCCTATCAAGGGTACTGCTATATTTAGTGACCCTTGCTTCGTACATACCTTTCATCCTACTTATCTGTGGAAGATTCTTTTTCCATTATCACTGGGCAGCTTCGTGTCTATTATCTAACAGAAGATTTTAATAGCATAGTTTAATGATGTAATCTTTCGGGAAACCTTAGCTTTAATACCACTGCCATGTTGGCAGTATTACATTCCCATGGGGATAATGAGTCAGAGTATTTGAAGTCAGGATGGTCTCAGAAAATACAAGTTAGATGCTTGATCTCCTCGGAAACCTGGCCATTTCTTGGGAATGTGTGTCAGATTCACTTTCTCCTCCACTTTAAGTCTGGTCCTTCATACCCATATATAGGTCGTTCTATTCTCTCTTACCTCAATCTAATCCCCCATATTGATCTTAGATTTCTTAAAGGTCATCTTTCTCCTTGCCCCCTCAACTGTCTATAATAGTTAAAGATGAATAGATAAATAGTTAAAGGTCATCTTGCAAGTTGCCCACTCAACTGTCTGTAATAGGTAAAGATGAAACCAATGGGAGACACAGAGGGAATAAGATGCTTATGGCCGTGTCCTTGCACGGTCCAAAAAGACAGTCTCAGCTTTTAAGTCCCATTAATAACTGGACCAATCTGTGATCCACCAGTTGGGCTTCTTACTACCACAGAAAAAGGGGACAATTACTGCTGTCTTTGGCCTATTGATCATTCCATCCTTCCTTCCTGGATTGGCAGCATTCCTTCAACTACGAATCTATTTAAATGGATTGCTATTTAAATTGAAGTAGCGGCATGTAGCTTTTCCCAACCTTTTACTGCACATGGTGTCAGAGCCCTTAATAATCAATGTTTCAGGTCTGTTTCCCCCTCTACTTAAAATCCTCTCTGATTTAGGTACCTAGATCTCTATTTTTTTGTATTGGCATATGGTTGTTACCTCAGACTTGGCAGTTCTTTACTGACTGTTAATTTATGCAGGAAAAAAATTTTAAGTGTTAATGACTGAAATAAAAGAAGCCAATTTGATCTCTCCCAACCTAAAGAAGGGATCCTTCCTCATTGGTTTCTTTCCAAACTTCCATTCCAGACATCGAAGAATAAAAAGGAAGATGATAAAATGAAGGAAAGGCTAGGAAGAGAGAGAGAGAGAGATGCATGATTAGAAACACTCCAAGAAAAATGTTTCACATCAGAAGTGAATTAGAAGTAGTTGGACTTCTCCAAAGATACAGTTGGAAAAACCATTACGAATTTCCAATGATCTATTTTAAATTTGTGAAACTATCAAATTCACTTTCAATCTTGTTTACAGAGCATTGGAAACAAATATAATTATGGAATACCATTACTTTATGTCACTTATGCTAATACTGGTAGAGTGTTTTCAAAATTTGGGAAGCATATTATCTGGTCAGTCAATCTTTAGAGAAAAATTTGTTCTGTATTTTACAAATACTTTATCTCCATGGGCTACAAATATCCATATGCTTACCGTAATAAAAAAACGTTTCACTGTGTGTACAGGAATTAAAAAATTTCAGTATAGTAAAAGACACGAAGATTGTTAAAGACAAGTGTGTTCTTACATGGATAAAGAAGATGTGGTATATATATACAATGGAATATTATGCAGCCATCAAAAGGAATGAGATCTTGCCATTTGCAACGACGTGGATGGAACTGGAGGGTATTATGTTGAGTGAAATAAGTCAAACAGAGAAAGACATGTATCATATGATCTCACTGATATGAGGAATTCTTAATCGCAGGAAACAAACTGAGTGTTGTTGGAGTGGGGGGTGGGGTGGGAGGGATGGGGTGACTGGGTGATAGACACTGGGGAGGGTATGTGCTCTGTTAAGTGCTGTGAATTGTGCAGGACTGTTGAATCTCAGATCTGTACCTCTGAGACAAATAATGCAAGATATGTTAAGAAAAAAAAAGAAGAAGAAGAAGGTAGCGGGAGGGGAGGAATGAAGCGGGGGAAATCGGAGGGGTGGACGAACCATGAGAGACGATGGACTCTGAAAAACAAACTGAGGGTTCTAGAGGGGAGGGGGGTGGGAGGATGGGTTAGCCTGGTGGTGGGTATTGAGGAGGGCACATTCTGCATGGAGCACTGGGTGTTATGCACAAACAATGAATCATGGAACACTACATCTAAAACTAATGATGTAATGTATGGGGATTAACATAAGAATAAAAAAAAATAAATAAAAGGATATGAAATGTTTAGAGTAAATTATCACGAAAAAATTAAAAAAAAAAAAAAGACAAGTGTGTTCTTACAATTAAGAATACCAGAAATAGCTCTATACTTCTTGATTCTTCATTCTGGAAATAAAATATGAACACCTGCAAAAGGAAAAGAACAATGGTTAAATAGGAAGTTTTTTGGTTTCATGGATTTTATCTATATAATTGTGAACCGACCCACTGAACGGTTCTACTAACACATGCCCTGATTTCACCATGGGTATTGGTAGATGTCTATTCCAAAATGTGTAGCAAGAGGTGGTATTCCTTCCTCCCAAGGTCTATGAGGCACTGTGCTTTTATTTGAAGCACAAATAAAACGTTTAGCAGTTACTCCTTACCTGGTGATACAATCTTGGGTATCTGTGTTAGCCTCCCCAAATAATGAGAGAGAAACAGTGTTTTCTCCTTATCCCCCAGAGCTTCATATACCTTCCTATGTCCATTGATCCTTCAGAAGGCCCCTTCCTTTTTTTCCCCTCCCTTTCCCCATCTTCACTCACGTACTGTATCTTTGTTCCTTTCGTAGAAGTCCATACTTCTACATCTATATCTATATATTTGTAGAAGTTGATACTTCTACATCTATATCTATATAGTTGTAGAAGTTGATGCTTTTCTATCTAGAAAAAAAAGGGGGGGTGGAGATTTTATTCGTATTGAATGCCTCTCTAGAATCTTGAGATCCCAAAGATTAGGGGTATTTCATTTGCCTATTTGCTGCTCTATTTCCCACCACCTATTACCCTGTCTCCCCACACATGGACCAGGGCCAGGTTTTCTAACATGATTCAGCTGGAGCACACTGCCCTATCTGGAAGGAATTCAGCTGGAATCCATGAGGTAGAAATCTTTAAATGCCATGTATATTCAGCATGGAGGAGAGCCCCCCAGGCATAGCTTCCGCAACTGGTTAAGAGTTCCCAGGACACTGGGGCAGACAGCAGCATTACTTACCTGAAAATATAAGAACATACAGCCAATTAACGTGGCATGTGGTACTAAAAAGGTGACACAGTACAGCGTGACATGTCCATAGCGCTCAAACAGCAATATAAACACAGAGAAGATGGTGATCTAAAGAAGATATGAACACGCCCGTTAACCGCTCTGCATTTCCACATATGCTCCAAATTGAGATGGCTCATCTTGAGGATATTCCTAATTTCAACTCCCACCTCAGAAACGCAAGGGATTCAGCGTATCTCCATCGACATGTTCTCTCAGGGACTTAGCCAGATTCCTTTAACTGGGAGTGTCATGAATGAGACATGACTGGACAAATCTAGGATCTAATAGATAACTTACTTTCATTACAGAAAGGGAAGAAAGTTGGCATTATATTGGCTTTGGAGGTAAAATTAGTAGATAAGCAATAATGAGAGGGAACACAAATTGATATCTCCTGGAAATCATGCAACGGCAACAGAGAAGACTTCTGTTAGGGACACCAGTGGGGAAAGAGAAGCATGGAGCAACCCGGAGTGGCTTCAGTGGAAGTACTCAAATTCAAAATTCAGGAATAAGAGATAGTTACAGGGACAAGGGTATTGGTATCCCCTTTTTCTCGACTTTTTCTTCTAAAACACTGCAATGATAAAAGCTTCCTAACAGTTTTTGTACTTCTTTCTGTTACAAATTACCATTTTTATGGCATTCAGCATATTCTCCCTAAAAGTATATTTCTTTCTTTCTTTCTTTTTTTTTTTAAAGATTTATTTATTTATTTGAGAGAGAGAGAGCAAGCGAGCGGGGGGTGGGGCATAGAGAGAAGGAGAATCTCAAGCAGACTCCCCACTGAGCATGGAGCTGGATGTGGGGCTTGATCTCAAGACCCTGAGATCATGACCTGAGCTGCAATCAAAGAGTCCGCTGCTTAATCAACTGAGCCACCCAGGCGCCCCTAAAAGTATATTTCTGATCGAATTTCTGTTCTGCCCTCTAAGCTTCCACGGCTTCCCACAGCCTGTAGAATAAATTCTTGAGTGCATGATTAAAGGCCAATGTGGTTGCAACCAATATTTTTATAACTAGGGCCACGCCCACGCTGCACTTTGTTCTCTTCCCTTATCCATGCCAGATTATTACCAGTTCCCAGGATAAGCCTGGACTTTCTCGCCTGAGTTTCTGTTCATTCACTGACTCATCAGTCTTCTCCAGCTACTAAAATCTTACTCTTCAGGTTTCAGTTCCTCAAGGAAATCTGTGCTCTCATTTTCATGAGTTAATCTTTCCCTTCTCTGGTTGTCATAGAAACAATCTTTTAAGAGGAGATAATCTTTTCCTTATCACTTTGCTTTAGTAAGTGGCTATTTACTTCTCTGTTTACCCTCTGAATGCCCTCTCGGGGTTGAAACGGTCTTATTTTTTCTGCATTATCGATCTTTGTTTGTGACACATTGTTGGAAGCCAACTAATATTTGTTGAAATGATAATTTACCCTTTGGCAGTTGAAATGACAGGGAATCAGAATAGATACTAGGAGATAACACATATTTTTCCTTCCTCGTTTAGATAAAATAAGTGTTGCTTTTATGGAATTAATTCTAGTAGAGTATGGAGAAGTAGTTTCTAGTTTTAACTATGTTAGCAACAATATTTGTTATCCTGTATTATCTGTGTGGAGGTCTTTGTGCTTATTTCTTTTTCAGTAAAAAGAAGACACAAATGGCTTCCAGGTTTCCTTCTAGCAAATACTTTATGGTTCTAGAAACAATTTAGCGACTTTTAAAAGAGACAAGGGTAGAAATTAGGAAGAGGAAAAAGATGCAGATTTTGGAAAGGATCCTACCTAAGGAAAACAAAATACTTTAGACTGTAATACTAATTTTTCATTCTACTGAGGGCACATTTTAAAGTACTGGCTCAGAATTGTGTATATAAATGCATAAAATGAATGTTCACAAGAAATATACTTACCATACAGAAGCAAAAAGACCAAATGCCACTATTTCTTTTCCCCTTGCGAAAAATGAATGAAATCACGTATGTCAAGAAGATAAGGGAGGCGGCATAGCCAACCGCACACAGGATCTGAAATCAACAGGAATGTTTAGTTAAAGACAAATGCACTCCAAGAAAACGTTAGGGTCCAAAAGATTGTTAGAGCACAGGGTTCTACAGTTATTTCATTTATGACAATGTAGGTATTACTGCAAACATGTTTCCATTAAATCATACAGGGTATTTGTTCTGTGAAGATGGTCACTTACTTGTATAATCTGATTTACAACTGTAAATAGAGTGTCTTGGGCATTTAAACTGTAGTCCATCAAATACATAAGAAGGAAGATCAAGCAGTACATCGGAACATCCACCAGCGCCTGCCCACACCAGTAGGCAGAAAAAGGGAAGAGGCCCGAAATCCATAGCTGGGACTGAGCTTTGCTCTGATTAAAAAACAGCAAAGATACAAAGTGGCATTTCAACTTGAGGCTTAAGAAAATATGGCTTATGTAAGGAAATATTCAAACAAAATTTTCATTTGTAATAGTTCTGTGTCATGCTATATGCATCATCTGGACCAAGGGATACGGATAATTCCAAACATCAGTGATCAGTTTGCTGCTTTGATTAACAACACTGATGTTCATCACACACCTGGTAGAAATATGTGAAGGGAAGAGCTAAGTGTAATCAAGGCATTAGTGCTGCAGTAAACAATATAGAGATTAATGATGTATGGGAGCATAAATCAAATTACATCTCAGACAGGAGCCTCATTTGGCTAATCAGAGACTATCAGCAAATTAACTATTTTTTTAAAAGATTTTATTTATTTGAGAGACCAAAAGAGAGAGAGAGAGAGTATGAGTGGGGGAGGGACAGAAGGAGAAGCAGACTCTCCACTGAGCAGGGAGCCCGACATGGGGCTCGATCCCCGGACCCGAACATCATGACCTGAGCTGAAGGCAGCAGACCCTTAACCGACTAAGCCACCCAGGCGCCCTGAATTTAATTATTTTTGAAAGAAAAAATATATTCAAACTTGTTTAATTGTTTATTATAATTGTTTAATTTGTGCCAAACCCCACATCACTTGATAAGTAATTTTAAAATATGGATTTGGTATGTTTATTCAGAGAATGACAAGGAATACAAAATACATGATATTTATGAATGTAATAATATTGATGTATGTATGCATAAATATTTGGATGGGTAATAAATATTTGAATGTGTGCTATGCCAAAATGACCCTAATGCATCATTTACTTATAATTAAAAGAATAAAGCAATTTTATATGTATATAAGAATACATATTATTTTATATATTTATGGAGAATATAATCATAAATAAGATATAGTATTTTATATATATAAAATACATCATCTTTGGGGAGAGACTTGTGCTGTCTCTTTGTATATAATAAATATATATATTATTATTACATTCATAAATATTATGTATTTTGCATTCCTTGTCATTCTCTGAATAAACATACTAAATTACATATTTTTTTTTGTTTATTCATTTATTTAAAATAATGATAAACTTACTATATGTTAATGAAACAATAGATTTATGAAAATATATCTTCTAAAACAAAAAATAGTAAAAGAGTGGCATTGTTTTTTATTTTTACAAATCTCTTTAATTTCTGGTTCTATAGAAAATAAGTAGATCGTTATATCTGCTTTTGTATTCCATCTGCTGCAATATCACATGTCATGCAGTCTCTGGAAACTTCTGAGAGAAGAGAATGAAAAGCAAATAATGTCTTAGTATTACTATGAAAAGAGTTTTGACCTCATAGTCCTCATGAAAGTTTCTCAGGGATCCCTGGACCAGACTTTGAGAACTTACAGGGTAAAACGCTAAATTAGATAAATGTCTTCGTGCTTTCAAGTATAATGACCTATTTTTTAAAATTATTAAAACATTTTAAACATGTTGAATCATTCAGAATGCTATACAATAAACATTGTAACAAATATCAACAGATTATTTTCTCCACATTAAAACACAATAGTCCCCTACTCCAAAACCACTCCATTTTGTCCCTCCTCAGAGGCAAAGCTGTGAGGACTTCCTTTAAATAAACATACTAAATTACATATTTTAAAACTACTTATCAACTATTTAAAAATACTACTTAACTACTTATAAATAGTTAAATTCATTTGCTGGTGGTCTCTGATTAGCTAAATGAGGCTCCCATCTTAGATGTAATCTGATCTAAGGATACATATCAAAATCTCCCAGCATAGGCCTGTTCGGTTCACATGACTGACAAGGTTCTGGTGCTGGACTGATCTGTGGTTGAAGCCATGAGAGGGACGAATTGTGGTTTTAGGTTACGGACAGAGCACCTGAGTACACGGTGCTGCCGTCCCTGGAGGCAGGAAATACGGAAGGGGGTACACATTCAAGAATATCATAAATTCAGCTTTGGAGACGTGAAGTTTGAGACTGTGATGCTGCTCCCAGTAGCAACCCTGAGAAGGGAGTTTGCATCAGCCCTGGAGGTAATGTTAGAAATTAGAGATCTGGGCTGGGGTCAAAGCTGTGAGTGACGGGTTAGGTAAAGGGGGTTTGAAGCCCTCGGGTTCGATGAGCTTGCCAAGGAGAGAATGACTCTAGCATGATGAGAGAGCTATGAGATCAACTCTGAGGGGTTCCAGAATTTAGGCACAATGGGGAAGAATTAGAAGTTCCAACGGAGGCAGACAGACAGTGGCCACGGTGTTGGGAGAACCATGATAGGATTGTGGCCAGAGAAAGAGAGTGTTTGTGTTTCCCATGGGAGACATTTTTAAATTGGGACTATGTTTTTTTTTTTTTTAAAGATTTTATTTATTTATTTGAGAGAGAGAGCACATGAGATGGGGGAGGGTCAGAGGGAGAAGCAGACTCCCTGCTGAGCAGGGAGCCTGATGCGGGACTCGATCCAGGGACTCCAGGATCATGACCTGAGCTGAAGGCAGTCGCTTAACCAACTGAGCCACCCAGGCGCCCTAAATTGGGACTATGTTAACACCAGGATGACTGACAGTCACATCAGGCCAGCAAATGGCATTCCCCAAGATTCCTGGAGGTTCTACACTAGGAAGAGAAGAGGACATTATCCGGATAGCACACCCTTCCCTTGGACAACAGAATTACTTGGGAGAGGGAGGAAGTTTGAAACAGATAAAGATGGTTATGCAAGGTCATTTTGTGTAATAAGTTACAAAAATGGAACCATTAAAGGATATTCTATTAAGATCTGTAAATAAAACTAACGTGAGTTGGCCTGGGTTGATTAGTCATAAATTCACCACCCTATGACTGCCACTCAAAATTTGTCTCCACCCAGAACTACTGAATCAGAATCATCACCTTACAAGATGCTCCAAATATGTGTAGATACGTTAAAAATTCATTGGGATTAATGAAAGAGTGTCTGTGAATGAAAATGTATAAACAGATTGTCAGTTAAACATTGAAATTTATTTTTTATCTAAGTTCTCACATTTTCAAAATACCATTTCCTTTTATTTCAGTCATCTCTTTTTCATTAACTTTTTTGAAATGTAATTTTGAAACAATAAAAAATATCCCCGTTAAGTATAGAGTTGCAAGGGGTTTGACAAATGCATGTATTCTTGTCTCACACTCACAAAGTATAGAGCATTTTCATTACCCGCCAACCCCCAACTTCCCATGCTCCTTTGTAGTCAATAGCCTTTAGCACTGGTTGCAAGAAACCACAGGTCTGCTTTCTGTCACTACGAATTTATTTTACCTTTCTGAGAATTTCCTATAAATGAAATCATTCAGGATTTACTCTTTTCTGTCTTCATTCCCTCAGTGTAATGATTGTGAGTTGTACCAATGCTGATGCAGTTTTAGTTGTTCCTTCACAAGAATTTATTTATTAATTCACAGCTTGATGGAAATTGGGGCTGTTTCAGATTGTAGGCTATTATGAATAAAGTTACCAAGAATAGTAATGTTTGTGGAAAGATGTTTTCTTTTCTCCCAGGTAAATACTTAGGAGAGAAATTCTGGACCATACAATAAATATATTTTTAATTTTATAAGACAGAACCAAAAGTGATTGTGCATTTTACATTCCCGCCAACAATGCATAAGAGTTCCAGTGTCTCCATATCCTCACAAACTTGATATTTTCAGTCATGTTAATGTTATTCATTTTATTTAATGAGCAGAGGGACTTCATTGGGGCTATTTTCCTGATTACTCATGATATCAGCCATCTTTTTATTGGAGCATTTTCCTTCTATATATCTTCTTTGGTGAAGTGTTTGTTCAAATATTTGCCCATCTTTAAAATTAGGCTATCTTTTATTACTGAGGCTATATTTTATTAAAATTAGGCTCTCTTTAAGATTAGGCTGTCTTTTATTGCCCATCTTTAAAACTAGGCTATCTTCTATTAGTAAGAGTTCTTTATATTCTTGACACAAATCTTCTTTTTTTTTTTAAATATGGAATGCTTCACAAATTTTTGTGACATCCTTGTGTAGGGACCATATTACTCTTCTGCGTATCTTCCCAATTTTAGTTTATGTGCTACCAACGCAAGCATGATACAAGGCTTTTGTTAGATGAATGAGTATTGTGAATATTTTTCTCCCAGCCCAAAGTTTTTTATTTTATTATTGGTGTTTTACAAAGAGCAAAAGGTTTTAACTTTGATGAGGTTCAAGTTCTCATTTTCTCTGCAGGTATATGCTTATTCTGTCCCATCTAGGAAATAACTGCCTACCACAAAATCTATGATTTATTTCAAAATAATTTTGAGTATGGCGTGAGGTGAGTGTTGAGAACATTCTTTTTTCCTCATACCAATATCAGGTTGTTCTGGTAAATTTTGCTGAATTCCCTGGTAGTTTTACTGAAATTCAACTGATAATACCTGAATTGTCTATTTCATTTCATATGCCCATATAACCCTCCTAAATAAATACAACACATTCTTCATTCCTATAACTTTGTAGTAAGCCTTGAAGTCAGAAGCATAACTCACCCAACATTGTTTTTTCCTTTTTCAAAGTTATTTTGTCTATTCTAGGCTCTGCATATCCATGTAAATTTTAGAATCATTCTCTATCTGTAATCTATTTATTTATCCCTATATTTATAAAGACTTAAAAAAATTTTGTATCTTAGGACTTATTGCTGAGTTGGCTGCTCTATTAAACGCGTATAAATAGCCCTATCATTTTCCTAATGATAGGAAAATCCTATCATTATATTACCCTTCAGCTTCTATTCATACAAAGTAATGAAGGTTTCGTTATTACCTTATAATCATCAATGCTGCTCATGGCAATATAAGGAGTACGTGAGGATGTCAAAATTAACCAGGGCATGGAATATCCCTGGAATTCATATGGATTACTCCTTCTGTCCTGAAAATGCAAAGAATACAATGAGCTGAATAACAAATTCAAAATTTGTTTTCTGGAATACATTTTAAAGAATATTAAACTGATGATCTATACTCCTGCCTTAGGTCCCTGTGGAGGTTCCCAAACTCTTTCATTATCCATCCAATTTTGAAGCTTAACTCTTGGCTTTCTATCCAAATTCATGGATAAGGAAAATGACTCAAAGAAGGTGAATGAATTGATAATACAACACAGTTGGAAAATAAAAAAGGAGTAAGATTTGTCATTTTCTTATGCTTCTTAAAATTTATTCTGATGCTAAATAATAAATAATGATCATTCACAGTTGAAACATTCCATTTTTAACTCCTATTTAAGTATTTCAAATGTGATAGCTTGAGTCAAAAAATCATATCAGATGTTTTATGGGCAGAGTGATGCTAAGTATCTTTCTAGGTACACCATGAGACCAGATAAATATTGGTTGAGGGTTCAAAAGTAGAGATAAAGTACAGTCCTAGAAGGGGAAGTGAAATCTCCAAGAAAAACCTTTGCACTTGGCTACACATATTGTTGCTACTGTTTGGAACAATCTTTGAGGACAGAGGATTCACAGGCTGCCCTGAAAGCAATTCCCATGTTACTTTCATGATCCACATAGGTGTTGTTTGATTACACATATTACTGAAAAAAAGTTATTACAAGCAGAGTCTGGTCATTTTCAGCCTGGCTATTAGAGATACACTTGCTAACTACAGAAAGGTGAGATTGAAGCTTATTGACGGGATCTTTTCAGAACACCTTCCATGTTTGGTGGGTTCAGGACTCAGTGGTAAGTCCATGACTTTGAACAGGACAGACACAAGGTCTGAAACTACAGAAAACTCTTACTTGAGCAATGAATAGGTAAATTCAAATAGAACAGGAAATGAGTTGCTGGAGATATTAAAGTTCAGGTGTTGGGCACATATGTACAAGGTCAAACAAAGTGACTGGTATCAAACTCCTCGCAGCTAAAACAATGTTTTCATAGATGGAAGCTCAAGGCAATTTGTTCAATTTGTATCCTCCCTCAGAAATCAGAAAATTGATAGGAGGTTAATTAAACGAACCACAGCATAGGTTCTAAAATTAATTAATACTTGATGGAGAATTAGAACTTTTTGCTTTAATGATTTAGCTTCTTACACATTCTTAATGAAAGGGATTTTCATTTTCTGAACACACCATGAGGTATGTTGTGAGAAGCTAACTCAAGATCTTGCAGGAGTGTATAAAAATAATGGTGGGTTCATTTTATATACACATGAGTAACTGGTTCTTAGCCATATATATTATCATAAAACCTTACACTGGAATGGAATATAGATAATTTGCTGACCTCTGACATTCATTTATGCATTTAACAAATAAACGAGTGCTTATCATCTTCCAGGCCCTATCTCAGGTACAAAATATTATGTAGTGTTAAAAATACATGGTCTCGGGCGCCTGGGTGGCTGTCGGTTAAGTGTCTGCCTTCGGCTCAGGTCATGATCCCAGGGTCCTGGGATGGAGCCCCGCATAGGGCTCCCTGCTCAGCGGGAAGCCTGCTTCTCCCTCTGCCCCTTACCCCGCTCTCATGCTCTCTCTCACTCTCTCTCTCAAATAAATAAAATCTTTAAAAAAAAATACATGTTCTCTGTGTTCAAAGAACTCTCTAAGAGGAAGAACTATATTTAGGAAATAATAAAAAAGGAATAATTACAAACTCTAATAGGTATTCTGGTTTCTAAACTTACAAAACTGTATACAGTCTAATCACCTGGGCTTTTTTTTTAGAAATAAGGATTTTTTTTTTTTTTTGTCCCAGGTATGAAAAATCTGGTTTGGTAGGTCTAGGGTTGGCTCAGATAATGAGTATATACTCTTTAGTAGCTGTTACCTTAACCAATGTACTTATTCCAGGTAAGTTTCAACTTTTGCAACCTGAAACTTTTGAGTGTTTTAGGGTTGTGTTGAAGGATGAGTAAAATATTTCATCTTGCATGCACAGTGCTTTGTACATGATAAATATTCAATAAACATAAAATGGTATCAGTTAGATTAGTTGATTATGATAATAGAAAGGAATAGAATTAACATATGCCCAGTGCTGTTACAGATCTGGAATCCTAGGCACTTTATTAATTTTAGTCTATCAGATAAATATGTAATCCATAACTAAACCAAATTTATGTTTCTTATATTGTCATTTACAATTCATCAAAGGATTCAGGTTCCATTCATATTGGATTGTTTGATTAGATTCTTAACTCTATTTTAATCCCATTTACTATCACTCCATAGCACTTACAGTTGGGTGAGATGCTAAAGAGATAGAAGAAATACAAAAAGAAACACAGAAACACATTAAATAAAGCCATTACTTTGCTCCCTCCCAGCTGCTCTGCTGGAAGTTAAACCTAGCTTAGGTCACAGGACAAATATAAGGATAGAAGATAAATATGGAACAGGCTAAACTAAAAACTGACATGGGCTCTAGAAACTCTGTAGGCTGGGGTAACCTGAGACCACTCACAGAGGGCTGACAGGTGGGGATCACTGACAGACAAGGAAGATGCAAACAGTCAGGGATCTAGAGGACTTTCTTCCTATTTTCTTATCTGGAAAGAAAAGTTGCTGGCCCCAAACGAAACACACATCTGGAAACGAAGATGTGCATGACACTCTAAGGCACATCTTCCTCAATTCCCTGTGTGTCTGTCTCCAGATCCTTTCTCCCTTCCTCTCCCCTACTCTTTCATTCCCTTTGAAAAGGCAATCAAGAGAAGAGGAAAGAGAAGTTTAAAAAACTGCGAGAAAAAAATAGGGAGTATGATAAAGGAGGTGGGGCAAGGTGTGAATAAATGAGACCAGGCAAAGAAATGAGAGAAGCCAAGGACAGAGAAGAGAAACAGCAGAGAAAAGATTGAGAATCCAGGAAAGGTTTTCTTTGGATTATCTTTGTTGGTGAAATCTAAGTTTGTATTTAATGTAAATATCAACAATATGATCTAAAACAGGTTAAAGGAATTTTTCTCTAAACTTGAAGTGGGAAATGATGAAGGTAGCGTGGAGGGGGTTATAGGTGGGAACTGTCCGTAGGCCACAAAAGAGAACTGAGCTTCTCAGTCTTTGGCCTGCTCTCCATCTGCATCATTGTTACCTGATGGCTTCTTTCCCATGGAATTCTGGAGGCATTGGTTCAAAGGAGTCATTAGATGAAGGATCGGAATCTATTTCATCTTCAAGGACCACATGATCAGCTTTCTGTTCCCGTGACCAAAAGGAGGACTTCAGGAAAAACAAGAGGGGATATCCATGTCCATATTCATCTATATGACCAGGAGAAAAATACTGGGTCAATCACCAGTTTAAGGGAAAGAGTCATCCTAATAAAGCAGCACAATGTCACCTCTTTGCCCAGACATCTGAACACATCATCAACACAGAATGCACACATTTTCCTTGATAGGTGTAATCACATAAGGAAAAAAAATCACTAAGATGTCTCTATTATAATCATTGTTCCTACAGGAGGAAAGGAAACTGGAATTTTAAAAAATCCAGGAGGGACTTAAATAAATGTTAAGACTTTCCCTGACCCCAAGAAAGCCAGCTATTAGAATACAAATGCAAGATGTGCCAGGCATGCCGAATGCTATCTAGGAGCCCAGGTGTCATGCCACCCACAAAGGAAGAAGAAATTGAGAATTTGTATCCAATGTTATTATTGGATACAAATATTCCAAGAGAAAACAGAACAGGATTTAAGGAAAAAGGTGGACACACTGTAACAAAGGGAGAGAAAGAGGCAAAATAATTTATTGAAATTTAACAGAGTGCAATTTTTTAAAAAGCTCTTTTGTATTTATGTTTTATTCCATCCCCAAATAATAATTTTCCTCTGAAGCAAATTTACTCTTCATGATCCTCTTTCTGGAAATTAACCCACTGTGTATTTGCATTTAATTATCATTTCTGTTTCCCTACATGTTGAGAGACATTATGAAATGAAAAAAACATTATATTTCACTAATATTCTGCAACGACCTCCAGGGTACTAACCATGGGTTTTCAAATTTATGTGTACTTTTCACGTGTTTAGTCATTCCTTCGTGCAATATTGACCGAACACTTTCTAAACACCTGTTACTTGGTACGTTATTAGTTAGTACTTATCTCTTTCCCTTCATGAGGAAATCTATTGAATGAAAGCATATAGCTCGACTGGGTCCATTCTACCACCAGATTCCCCATGACATGATTCTGTCATTTTAGCCAGTTAATTTTCCTTTCTCTCATTGATATTGCTTATCTTTCAAAGAATTTTGAACAAAGTCACCTTGTTTGAATTCAGGCTTACATTCAGCCTTAGTGAATGGATGATAAAAATAATTCCAAGTGTATAATAAATGTTTTAGCCAAAATTGTAGATTCTGGCCTCTATTATTCTGGTCTCTTTTGAAAGGGAGAGACAGTTACTGTTCTTACGGGATTATCTGAAAACAACAACATGATCAGTTCACTGCTTCCAGATGTTTCTCTGCACCTTCGCCCTCACTCTTTCTCCTTTGTCCCTTTGACCAAGTGTTGAATCGTTAACTTTAAAAAAATATATACTCAATGTGTTTATTTCATTAGAAACTTCCATAATCTTTACAGCTTGATTGAAGTATGACTGACAAATAAAACCTGTATACATGGAAGGTATATAATGCGATGTTTTGATTCAGGCATACATTGTGAAGTATTACCATCATCAAGCAAATTAACATATCATCACCTCACATGGTTATCATTTTTCTGCGTGTGTATGTGTGTGTGTGTGTGTGTGTGTGGTGAAAACACCTGAGATCTACTATAAAAGTAAAAATGTATGACCTATTGACTTCCCTATTGTAGAACTCCGGGGAGATTTTTAAAAATATAGATGCCCAGTCCCACCACTGATGAAATGAATCATAATCTCTTAGGGTTGAATTGTGCTTGGTATTTTTTTTTTTTAAAGTTCCCAAGGTGGTTCTGAAATACAGCCAGGGCTAAGAACCACTGAGCAAAATAATTAGGCAAAAGCAACTGTAAATTTCCATGATTAAATACCAAGCCAGACCCATTTAGGAAATAGCTTTCTAAGCATCTTTTTAAAAAGAAACAAACTACATTTAGAGCACAGTGAAATTCGAAGATCAGTGATCCTATAAACAAAATTCAAGCTGTACTTCTGACCAGTCAAGTAACAAGAAATAAAGAACTAATGTGGCCATTGGCAATGACCTTGTTCATTGCCTTCCTTTGGATGCAAAAAGTAGTTTTTAGGGCGCCTGGGTGGCTCAGTTGGTTAAGCGACTGCCTTCGGCTCAGGTCATGATCCTGGAGTCCCTGGATCGAGTCCCGCATCGGGCTCCCTGCTCGGCGGGGAGTCTGCTTCTCCCTCTGACCCTCCCCCCTCTCATGCTCTCTCTCTCTCATTCTCTCTCTCAAATAAATAAATAAAATCTTTAAAAAAAAAGTAGTTTTTAAAATATAAATAACACATGTGTTAGGAGATTCGTCTTTAGGAAATAATATTTGATTTTAATCACATCAGTACTCACTTGGCAAAATTTTCTCAAAATAAATCGTCAGTGCCACATAGAAGAAAAGATCAAAAGCCAACATGAAATTTGTTGCTATTATCAGATTTGAGTAGTCCGATGGATTAGGAAATGCATTGGAATTCAAATCATAGTCTGAGCGCAAAAGCTGAAAATTAAAAAGTAGTTAAAGAAAGGACGTTAGTTTTGTGATAAATTTTAAACAATTTAGCAATTTTAAATTTTGTGATAAATTTTAAACAATTTAAACAGGTTTAGTGTAAACATGTAAGAGCTACTTTTTGCCTCCCATTAACACAAAGTTGAATGAAACTGCCTTCTTTACAATTCTCAAATCTTTTGGAAGGCATAGGTGTATGACCAACTATAATGAAATTTAGTAACTGCTGTGATTAAAGTATGTTCCAGGTGAAACTGGAGCATTAGGAGTGTTACAAGATTTTTGTTCCCTTGGTGCCTGTTGTTCATGGACACGCCACTTCGAAGAATGAAGAGGTAGACCAGACAAAGAGTGGTGGGCAGCAAAGCAAAGTTCATTGAGCGGTAGTATAAAGCTCCAGGAGAGGGAGGGGACCTGAGAGGGTTGCCCTTTTGGTATTCAAATCTAGGGGTTTTTCTAAGCTCTTTTGCAGATCTATCTTGAGCATCCTGAGTGTGGGCCCCTTGTGGATTGGCTGCTAAGGGGTGCCAATCAGGGCTTTGATCATGCACCTGTCTACCTGTTGGGTTATTGTTCACATGCTGATGGTCTTTTGGGCTGACATTTGGACATGAACTGCCTCAACTTGTGGTAGTGACCCATGTTTTATGGTTAATTGTTTTGTTTCAGGATGTTTTGCAAAAGTCACTTCTGCAGAGGCTACTAGACAGGATGCCATTGTGGTCTTGTCTAATCTGTAAAACAGGATGCTAGTGTGGTTTCATCTTAGCTGTCCTGGCTCTCTGTTTTCTTGTTGGGGACCCTGGCCCTGACTACCTAAGTGTCCAATTAACTCCTAAAAGGAGGAGGCAGGGAAATATGGGAAAAGATGACATTTGAGCTCAACCTTAGACAAATTTTTACCAAATAGGATACAGGACAAAAGTGTGGTCCTCCTTGAAATGGCTACATGAGAGAGAATTCATGCTCTTGGAAAAACAAAACAAAACAAAACTGGTGTGTTTAAGGAGAACCTGTGGGAAAAGTGGGCTTGTCTATAATGTTCAAGTTAATGGGTCTTTTATAATTAATAATCCTTTCATTAAGAACTAAATAACGGATATGTATGCAATGATCGACATTACCATTTAATTGGAGGGACAGCAAAGTGAGTTCAATTTGAGAATCAGTTAAAGAGAAATGACATTTGATGAGCAGAAATGAAATTCGCTGGTCAGTTAATGTGTTTTTAACTTGTGATTTTCTTTTCTTGCATATGGTGGTTTATAGATTCATGTGTGTTGTTCAGTTATGAAGTCAAAATTCGAGCTGGAATAATTAGAATTAGATTTGCAATATCAAATCCATATTTAATTAAGAGCCAAAGGGGCACTGGGTGGCTCAGTTGGTTAAGTGTCTGCCTCCGGCTCAGGTCATGATCCCAGGGTCCTGGGATTGAGCCTCATGTAGGGCTCCCTGCTCCGCGTGAAACCTGCTTCTCCCTCTCCCACCCCCCCTGCTTGTGTTCCCTCTTTCGCTATGTCTCTCTCTGTCAAATAAATAAATAAAATCTTTAAAAAATAATAATAATTAATAGTCAAGAAAATGCTTTAGATCATCTATGAAGAATGATACGCTGACCTTCCTTTTTTTCACTCACCAAATGGCTTATTTTGCTGAGCTCGGTATGCCCAAAGCTTTTAAAAGTTCATTTTTGCAGGGTGTCTGGGTGGCTCAGTCAGTTAAGTGACCAACTTTTGGTTTCAGTGCAGGTCATGATCTCAGGGTCCTGGGATCGAGCCCTGTGTTGGACTCTGCACTTAGCACAGAGTCTGCTTGGGATTCTCTCTCCCTCTGTCCCTCTCCCCTATTGTCTCTCTCTCAATCTCCCTCTCAAATACATGAATAAATCTTTTTTAAAAAGTTCATCTTTGCAATGTCACAGTAATCGGCACTGAGGCTTTAAATCTGACAACGCTAATCATAGAAATGACTATAGACAACTGAATTCCAGACAGAAAAGATGTTTCTGAAATTCCATCAATCAACAATTGGATTGTTTCTCACCTGGGCCATTCCAAGCATGAAGGCAAAGGGGCTAAGAAAGCTTAAAATCCACTCCAAGGATGTAGGAAGTTGCCTGTACAATGCTGTAAATCCCAAACTTCCCCAAAAGACGGTGAGAAGGAACATGACCAGACCAGTGAGGAAAGATTTCTTTACCAAGACACTCATTAGAAAAGCCAAAGCTATCTAAAATGAGAGAAGATCCAGTTGGTTTATATTTCTCTAAGGATTATTCTTAGCATAACACAATAAGGGATTGAATATACAAAATTAGAGTTACATTTTTTTTGGTCTATAATACAAAACTGTGCTCTACAAATTGCACTATAAGTTGGCATTACAAAACACTGCAAATCTTTTTAAAAAACACTACAAATCAAATACATAGATATACATAGATGTTCTCAGGCAAAGAGTAGACAGTGAAGAAAAGGGATATGGAGAATAATTACCTATTTAGAAACCAACACTTGATCCTTAGGGTAGATTGGTAAATTGGAAAGAAAGCAATTTAATTCACCAACTCATCAAAGACAATCCATAGAGGAAAAAGAGGGTGAAGATCGCCATGAAGCCAGTCAGAATGACAAACTGGACAGATTTTATAATAAGTGCCAAGAAAAGTGCCATAATGAAGATGAAAACACCATAGAGCAGACCCCAGGAGAGCCTAGGATGGAAACAAGATGTTATTTTAGAATTTCATGTTCCAATGAAAGGAGGATCTAGAATGGATTCTAATATTATTCATTGATTCATTCATTCTTTCAGTAGATACTTATTGAGTTTCAGGATATATAAATACAAGATAAATTAGGGATATTTTTGTCCTAAAATTAATTCCAGAAATACACACACACCTACATGTACACACACACATCCCTGTGGGGAAAAGGAGAAAATAGTCTTCCAGTCTGATTGATTTTGGTTCAAACATTTTTTTCGGCTGCCTTCATACTCTGTGACCTTGAGCAAACTCTGTAATCCCTCATCATTTTCTTTCTTTTTTTTTTTTATTGCTCTGTACACTAGGAATAATACCACAGTTTTAGTTCAATGAAGTTATGTCTATGTGGGACACTGTCTTAGTACACAGTAACCCCTCAGTGAATCTCAGATCCTTTTCTCCTCTCAGGCCTCTCTAGGGGTGAGGAGCTTCATGGATTTCCTCAAAGATATAGGATAGTTCACCTTCCTTTCTTCAATTCTTTTATCACGTTGATCACTATTCTTTGAAGGGTATAATGAAATAATGAAAAACAAAAACAGCAGCAAAACCAACAAAATAATAGCCCACACATATAGCAATTACTCTGTGCCAGAAAGTGTTTTATGAACTTAGCAAATAGAAAATCATTTTATTTTCACAAAGGCTCTATGCAGGAGCATCATTATTTTCTTAATTTCTAGACAAAGAACCTACTTAACAAAGATGTTAAATAATATGGTTTCAAGTCCAGGCATTTTGGCTCTAGAGTCGTTAGATTTCACTGCTCCGTCATACTTCCCTCCAATATTAATTCAATAAGCAGTTCAATATTGACTTATAGCATTTTCTTCCAGACTCCAAATTCATTGCCATTTGCATATTCCACCTGGCTTCCTAGCCTCTGTGTTACTTTACTTTCTCTTCACTACGAACATCACCTCCATGCTTTTTTCAGTCATTCTCAAGTTCTCTCTCACACAGTGCCTTGTCCATCCAAACTACCCAGCCCCTATTCACAATCCTGTTCTGCCAGCTTTTTCCTTCAAATATATCCATCATACCAGATCTTTAGTCTCAAAAGAGCTCCTGATCTTTGACCTCTTTTTTTCCCCCTTTCAGTCCATGCTGGCTTGAATTGCACTTCCATCTGGCTTTGACACCCAAATCTACCATTTCTACTGCACTCTTACCAGTAGACTCAATGGCCATCCCTCATTATCCCTACCTCACAACCACCACACAAACCCAAACCTGCTATTCTTTCTTCAGTCTGAGAAGCACAGTAACCCGCAGCCTTAACTTGGCAAGTATTACATCAATGACAATTTATCCCATTCATAGGGAAGAGTTAGAAAATCATCAGGTTTGACCTCAATGAGATACCACCTCACACCAGTCAGAATGGCTAAAATTAACAAGTCAAGAAATGACAGATGTTGGCGGGGATGCGGAGAAAGGGGAACCCTCCTACACTGTTGGTGGGAATGCAAGCTGGTGTAGCCACTCTGGAAAACATACGGAGGTTCCTCAAAAAGTTGAAAATAGAGCTACCATAGGATCCAGCAATTGCACTACTGGGTATTTACCCCAAAGATACAAAAGTAGGGATCTGAAAGGGTATGTGCACCCCGATGTTTATAGCAGCAATGTCCACAATAGCCAAACTGTGGAAAGAGCCAAGATGTCCATCAACAGATGAATGGATAAAGAAGATGTGGTATATACATACAATGGAATATTATGCAGCCATCAAAAGGAATGAGATCTTGCCATTTGCAACAACGTGGATGGAACTGGAGAGTATTATGCTGAGCGAAATAAGTCAAACAGAGAAAGGCATGTATCATATGACCTCACTGATATGAGGGATTCTTAATCTCAGGAAACAAACTGAGGGTTGCTGGAGTGGGGGGTGGGGTGGGAGGGATGGGGTGACTGGGTGATAGACACTGGGGAGGGTATGTGCTCTGGTAAGCGCTGTGAATTGTGCAAGACTGTTGAATGTCAGATCTGTACCTCTGAAACAATGCAATGTATGCCCAAAGCTTTTAAAAGTAAGAAGGTAGCAGGAGGGGAAGAATGAAGGGGGGGAAATCGGAGGGGTAGACGAACCATGAGAGATGATGGACTCTGAAAAACAAACTGAGGGTTCTAGAGGGGAGGGGGTGGGAGGATGGGTTAGCCTGGTGATGGGTATTGAGGAGGGCACGTTCTGTATGGAGCACTGGGTGTTATGCACAAACAATGAATCATGGAACACTACATCTAAAACTAATGATGTAATGTATGGGGATTAACATAACAATAAAAAAATTAAAAAAAAAAAAGAAAATCATTAGGTTTGAATACTGATGCTTTGAAGAGGCCCACTCTTCCTGAATCCCTACATTTATTTGTGCTACACTTTACTCACCAGAATGCCGAATCCCGAAGACCCATCATCCTCATCAAGCCCTTCATCTTTTTCCTCTCTCTTGTAATGTTAAGAGATGCATAATAAGTGAATGAGGAAAAGGAAATAACGCAGAAGAAAATGAAGAAATCAGTTGCAATGCCCCCTTGACTGACAAAGGGATGTATCTTCATATTTTTTCCAGTAACGGACATCAATTCCTCCATCACTGAATGATTTGTTGCAGTCTGAAGAAATATATTAATAAACAAAATTTGTATATTCATGGATGGCATGCTCTGTTTTCTTTCAGTCATCTGTTTTCCTCTGAACGCGTAACTGGTCAATCTGGATCTGATCCTAGCCTAAATTTTCACTTCCATGTTCCACCATTGGCCCACTTAGGGCCCTGACTCCCAGCATTCTGAGCTTCTCATAGTTCTCAAAATTTACGATGTGTTTTATCACCTCCCTGCCTAACACTGCCTTATAATGTGCTTGAAATCCATTTATGACTTTATATACTTGGCAAATCTTACCTCAAGCTTCAGTTTTAAATGTTACTTCAATTAGGAATTCTTCCATGGCATTCTAGGCTGAGAAGTTAGGCTTGTTTACTTACAGACACTTTATACCTCCCTATACCTTACTTCTCCCTTTCTAATAATGTTCTTTCTTTCTTTATTTATTTAAATTCTAGTTGGTTAACATATACCGTAATACTGACTTCAGGAGTAGAATTTAGTGATTCATCACTTACATACAACACCCAGTGCTCTTCACAACAAGTGCCCTCCTTAATACCCATCACCCATTTAGCGCCCCCCCCCACCTCCCCTCCAGCAAACCTTAGTTTGTTCTCTATAGTGAAGAGTTTCTTGTGGTTTGCCTTCCTCTTTCTTTTTTTTTTTTCTTCCCTTATGTTCATCTGTTTTGTTTCTTAAATTCCACATATGAGTGAAATCATATGGTATTTGTCTTTCTCTGACTTATTTTGCTTGGCATAATACACTCTAGCTCCAGCCACATCATTAAAATGACAAGATTTCATTCTTTTTGATGGCTGAGTAATATTCCATTATATATATATATGTGTGTGTGTGTATATATATATATAGTGATAATATATGATATATATAATATATATGTGATAATATATATAAAGACAAATATAAATAAATACATATATATATATGTATCACAACTTCCTTATCCATTCATCAGCTGATGGACATTTGGGTGCTAATAATGTTCCTATTATATGCCTGCCTTCTTGACAAGTTTGAATTCTTGGGAGAGAAAGTTTCTGTTTCTGTTTGTAGCCCCCATGGCATACAGAAACTATATAAATAAACTTTGTATTAAAGAAACCAGTGATTAAGTGAAAGAACAAGGCTACCCATTTATGTATTATTTCATGAACCTTTTGAGGCCTCTAATATCATTAGTCTGCATGCAACATTAGTTAGCATGGAACATTTGAACTCACTTCTATAATAGCAGCTTGAAGAGCGACGAAACCTCTCTCCCAGTACTGTGAAACTTGGCAGTTAACATCGCCACTCATTTTAAAACAATGAGCTTTAAGAAAAAAAAGAAAGCCATAAATATCATTATGGATTATTTCAGTCCTGATTATAGGAAACAGTGGACTTTACAATGGCTGCACATTCCAAATGTTGTTATTTTGACTCAAGGCCTATGAAAACATAAACTGGAGTAATGATTCTCAAAGCAGGGCAGACAGAGCACTTATAGGGGATGTTCTGCATTAAATCAGAATATACTATGCTTTCTTACACTATCTTCCCTGCTTCTTCACCCATCAAGAATTTTGTGGAGCTTTTCTCTTCTATGATTTTGTATTGTCAAAACAATCTTTTTATGTTTTTCAAAGGTTAGTAGGTCTTTTATGGATTGAGAACCATATGGATTGAGAACTAGAGCTTTGCCTAACAGTACATACAACACAGGCAATAATGAGCAACTGGGAGTTCAGAGGAAATAACTTACTATGTTCAAATCATGTCAACCAGAACATCTTCTGAAGAAAAAACATCTTACCAAAAAAAAAAAAAGCCTACCAGTCCATTGAGTATTAAACTGCATTAAAGAGATGGTGATATTTAATATGAAAAATTAAAATTGAGTATTAGAATTAAATGCATGTTTCATGTTTCATTAACATTTTAAATATTTAAAAGTCATTTGGAAACAGTTCAAGCCTACAAATGATGATATAATGAACACATATGTAACCATGGCCAAATTTTAAAAATGAATAAATCATTACAAATACAACTGGAATCCCCTGTATACTGTCTATGATCTTATTGCTTTTCCTAGCAGCAAGCTCCTAATTGGCTAACTGCTTTCCTGAACTTTGTGTTTATATATGCCATTAAGCTTCTGTAATGTATCCCCAAACTACACACATAATTTAAAATTGTTGAACTTTCTATCTTCTACCTCATTACAGTCATCATTCTGCATTTTGCTTCATTTGTTCTATGTTATGATTTTGAAATTTATATAGATGGCCCCATTTTTTCTTCTTATGATTGTGTAGAACCACATTGCAGGAATGCAACTCAGTGTATTTATCCATTCTCTCATAGATGACAATTTGGTTAATTTCTTTTTTCTTTTTGCTATTACAAAAAAAAAAAGCCACTGCTATGAAAATACTTATATACGTCTTCTCATGAATATGTGTGTATCATCAGGATAGTCTATGATATGCCTAGTAACAACCTTCAACATCTTAATGTCTTTTCACAGCAACAGTTTACTTCTCACTCAGACCATAGATTCAGCACAGGTCTTTGGAAGGGGGGGAGCGAGGTCCTCTGTTTCACACCAGGGGTCCCAAGGTGACAGTTTCCATCTAGCTTGCAGAAGCAGGTGAGGAAAGGGTATAGAGAACTCACATCTGCTTTTCAATGCCTTGAATCTAGGTATCTGATTATAGCTACAAAACAATTATTCTATGCCCTCAGAAGGAGAGGAGAATAGGCTGCAAATCTTTAACACAGGCATGAGACTTTCACTAATAAAATTTCTATGATGCTGGGTTATAAGTTATACATATCTTCAATTTAAAAATAAAATTTCTCAATATTAAATGTTTAAAATATTTTTATAATATTGGGTTTTCTTTGCTACATATCCTTGTCAATACTTTGTATCGTTCTATTTACTGTTTTTGGTCAATCTTGTTAAATATAAAATGATATCACATGTGGTTTCTAAATGCATTTCCCTGATTACTAATGCAGGTCCAAGTGTTCATTCTTGATCTGTGTTTCTCCTTCTATGAAGTTCCTATTTATATCTTTCACTTCTTTCCTATATCTATGCTTTTTTTCTTATTTATTCAGAGAAAATCTTTATATATTCTGGTATTAACTTTTTGTTAGTTTCATTTGCATAAATATTTCATCACAAGTTTTGCCCTTACTTTTCACTTTCTGATGTCTTTTGATAAAGATAATTCCTTAATTTTTATAGTTTATGTATTTTTTGTTTTGTTTAAGAATTCTATTCTATCCGGCAGTTATAAAGATATTCTCCTATACTGACTTCTAGAAAGTTTACAGGATTTTTTTTTTTCACTGAGTTCTGTACCTGGAATTGGTTGTTTAGTATGAGATAATTTCATTTTGTTCTTTACGGAGAGATGATTTTCCCAGTACCAATCACAGTGTCTTCTCAGTCATATGTTAGTTTTCATGTTTATGTGAGAGCTTTCCAGGTTTCTTTCTTCTGTTTCATTGGTCTATCTGTCTTTTACTATGGTAATAGCATACTCTCTTAATTACTTGTTTAATTCTTTCTAAAACCATCTTGGCCTTTTTTCTTGTCTATGCATTCACTGAGTATATAGTCTCTCCAGTTTCCAAATTAATACAGAAATGTCCATCTCATATAAACCCAAGATCTTCTCACCTGTCCTCATGTAACTAAAACCCAAACCTCTTGGTTGGTGAGATTGGCAAAATCATAGAGCATTAACAATAATCAATCACTCTGGATTTGGTGCCCTCTTCATTTTGGGCCCTCAAAAATAAGCTTACTCAGACATTTGAAGAGAAGCTTCTATTTTATCCATAAACAATTTTACTTTCCTTTAGCAATATATATTATAACCACATATTGCATTTAATATATATGTATATGTGCACATGCATATATGGAAATATATAAATATATATATAAAACCATATATAACAACTATCTAATACAGTATGTTAATAAACCCAAAAAATTTTTAAAATGTACATTTTTAAAATGTGTTGATTATCCTGTTGACATCACATTGCAGATAGGGATTTTTAAATTTGCTGTATTAACATCCATTCCTATATATAACTTATGACATAATTGAAGTGGACAGCACTGGAATTACATAGCTGGAAAAGTTACCTTCATGGTCCCTGTGTTCCTTCTTTGTCGGGATTCTGTATCCCAGCAAGAATTTCAAATGATATGAGAATGTATTAGTAAAGATGACTTGTATTACTTCCTCAGGATAATCTGGCATTAATTCTTTAATATTTTCTTCATTGGACAGCCTCAAAACTTTTATACCTGCCATTACAAGAAGGGAATATATTTGTTAGTAAATTACTAGGAGATCAACTTCAGGATGTCATGATAAATTACTTTTACTAGAGTTCTTTATGGAAATAAAATCAAATATCAACTTTGAGTAGGTCAGGCAGAGTAAAGTTTGGGAAGAGACATTGCTCTTCAGAAGAACTACATGAAAATTAGTTATTTTATTTTCATTTGTAGTTCTTGAACCAATTTCAATCACATATAATATTATTCCATACAAATTAAACTATTCACAGGAGAATTAGCATTGCAATAAATCTACAATTGTAGTAAAAAAAATGGTCACGAATGGTAGGTCATTGTGTTTAAATCACAATTAGGCTCTGGTTTATAGCAGATGGAAATAATTATAAAAATTCACTTTCCTTTAATAATCCTGACAGTATGGTATTAACTGGTATGCTATGAAAATACTTATATATGTCTTCTCATGAATGATTTATTTTTAAAAAGAGAAAGAGATTCAAAAGAGAATATACCAGTTACCTGATTATATTGACATCACTAAAATAATCCCTCTTTTCAGCAGATATTGTGTTCAATGCCATACAGAGGTCTCACTAAGACTGAAAGAATGAGAAGGAATGCAAAGAAAGTCCTGGATTGGGGTGGGAGTGTTGAAGATGCAAGTGGAGGAAAAAGGCAGCACGTATTTTGATAGAACTATTCTTTTTCTGGAATCTATTCCTTAAATCCATGTGATCTTGAGCAAGTCGTGTAAGCTTTATCACTCAATTTCCATTATTTGTAAAATAAACAATAATATCTATTATTAGTACATAATATTACTACAGAGTACAGAAAAATATAATACAGAATAATATTCTATTACTACAGAATAAAGGCTCTATAAAATCTAGTGCATGAGAGCATTTAATGAACATTAAGACTAGTTCTCTTGCCTCTGCACTAGGCTGTTTCTCTTCTGATTTCAGAAAATTATTCTAAAGGAAAGTGACTTTGACAGTCATAATGCTCTCCTTATTTTTCACTGGTAAGTATCTTAACACTGAAGGGTGGAAACTTGAAACTCAGAATACTCATCAATAGAATCTTCAAATATAGTAAGACAATTTTTGGTAGTAAAAAGCTGGAGATAGAACTCCCATAATCAAATTCAAGAAAAGACTCATTGTTTTTGTCTGTAATAATAAGCAAATACTAGAGTGACAGTTTCATTCTAGTAATAAGGCTTCCACAGCCAAATGTCAACAATTCCCTAAACACTCCTGCTTTTCAAAGTCTCCAAACACTATATTCCATGCTTCCCCAAACCCTATGCAAGATCAAGATTTCTTTGCTGAGAGACTGTGCACTCAATTTCACATAATCTATAAATTTTGACAACACAGTTTATCAACTGAAATGCAAATTAAATGCATGTCTCTGCAGTCAAATGAACCAAAAATTGACATCAGAAATTCCTCTTGGTTGCTAGAAAACTCACCTTTCATGAAGGAAGCTAAGGCTACTTTACTCATTATCTGTTGGGTTGTATTGGTGACAGGTGTGTATATAATAGAAAATGTAGAATCTTTAAATGAGTCTACCGGTCCCAGGTTCACAGCAGGCAGTGAAGAAAAATCATTAACTTTATGATTAGTAGGATATAGATACAAACAAAGTAGGAGGAGCAATGGGGTCAACCATTCCTACACAATCCAAGAGAAAGAATAAAGAAAATTATGATTTTGAATTAGTTATCCACAATCATTTGGTCATACAGTTTGTCTTGTGCATTTTTCTGCTTTCAATATATGCCACATTATGAACTGTTTAAAATATGTACAGTACAAAATTCAGCAGTCTAATTCCAATGAGCTCTTAATAGGTATTCAAGTGTATTGATCCACAGCACCAGTCTAAAGCATGCACTGATCATGAAAGTATGAGAGGCAAGCTATTATAAATTATTACCAGCTGGTATGACCTACTCATGCTGTATCTGGTTCTACTGAGAGCCTAGTGTTACATGAGACAGTTCCAAGGCACTGCTTACTGAGTAATAATATACTGGCTACATGCCAAGATCCTGGTATTGGAAACTCAGCACAATTCAGGCAACTGGAGAAAGACTGTTTTGTTAGTTATCATTGTTGGTCACCTGCAAACTTCCAATAAGACATCACTTTATTTCCTAAATGGATGATGATAGAAAAAATTCACAATTAGACAGTAAAATTCTAATTTAGTTAAAAATGCTACTAATTTATATCTATCTGATTTTCAGAAGATATCAAAGTTCAACCAGGATTTTTGTTATATGGTAAAATGATAGGAGCTAATGCTAATTTTCTTCTTGGTACTAATAACATTTCCAAGTTTTCTACTCTTTTGAAGAGAATGATTTATTTTTAAAAAGAGAAAGAGATTCAAAAGAGAATATACCAGTTACCTACTTCCGTGGGTTAATTAACCATGCCTTCAAAATCTCAGTGTCTAAACCTGACTATCCATGAGTAGGAGCCCTAGCAAACATGTGACCACTGACTTTTAAAACATTTATTGGATTTTCTATTGCTGGCCAGTGTCAGTGACTTTAGACCTCAACTTGGGATCTGTGTCAACTGAAAGGTCTGCAGACAGATTGCAGTTCGAGGAACAACTCCTTCTCTTGTAGAGAGGTTTTCTGGTTTGGTTTGGTTTTTGGAAGGGGAGATAAAGTATGGTTACTTCCCAGGAAATATACATTTCCATATTGTAAATAAGAAGTGACAGAGATACTGAATCATACCATCAAGGACTCTCTTTTCATTCTCCATTTCTTCAGAAGGTTCTTGCATAATAATGCCCATGTCTGTTGACACACACTCATTTCTCTCTTAATCATTTTGCCCTGTTTAAGAAGAAAGAAAAAGAGAAGATAACGTAAATGTGACGCTCTTCATGAGAAGACATACCCTGCAAACAGAAAAAGAGCAGCCTGATAATTGCAGTGCTACAAATGAGTGCTTGGACTCTGTGAGTTCCAAAGTTAGCGTGTTATGACTCCCCTAGCTTTCTTTTCTTTCCACTTCCAAACTCTTTGCTCCCTTATTTTTTTGGTCATGCATTGTGTTAGTGACCAACGTCTTGCCTCAGCTCTATGAAAATGGATCTCGGCCTTTTAAGTCGTTTTCTTTGCCAGCCGGCACGATGTAAAGCTTTGTCAGCAGAGAAGATCGAAGAGACATTGCAGGAAGAAGAGGCCCTCCTTTCTGGTGTCAGAGTGGTTCATTTTCCCCATTCCTAGAGACTGTATTTTTTTTTCCCCGCTGCTCAGACTAAATGATTTTCTCCAATGCAAAGTGCCTGGATGGTGAAGGTTTCACTGTGTGTTTTCAATAGCTCTTGACTCAAGAGCAGTAATGTATCTGGGAGCCCCAGACAGCTAGGGCCTTTCCCCCAGAGCTTTGTTTCCTTTGGATCCCCTATTGCAAAGTCAGTGCACTCCTTGTGCCCATGGCTTGACTTTCAGTGGGCTGCAACAACACCTATCTAAACACACCTTAGTTGACGCAACATGACCCTTGCATAGAGTAAAAAGCAATGGCCATCTACTACCACGGGTGGGGTGGGAAACCTCCCTGCCCCCATTCCTAAGCAAAGGTGAGTTGTTGCTGAGGTTTGCTTGGCAACCCAGCATTGACACAAAGCAGAGACAGGCTGTTACCCAAAGAGGCGTGAAGCAGCTCTCACATATCCAAGACCTCCCAACAGATACAAGAACAGATTGTACAACAGGCCACAAAACAAGTCTTAGCAAATTGAGATTATACTGAGTATCTTTTCTGACCATGAGGATAGGAAACTAGAAATCAGAAACAAAAGAAAAGCTGGAAGGACATTGAATCCATGATCAAAGACCTCCCAACAGAGAAAAGCCCAGGGCCAGGACCAGATGGCTTCTCTGGTGAATTCTACCAAACATTTAAAAAAGAATGAAGGGCACCTGGATGGCTCAGTTGGTTAAGCGTCTGCCTCCAGCTCAGGTCATGATCCCAAAGTCCTGGGATTAAGTCCCGAGTCGGGCTGCCTGCTCAGTGGGGAGTCTGCTTCTCCCTCTCCCCCTCTCCCCTGCTTGTGCTCTCTCACTCTCAAATAAAATAAAATCTTTTTTAAAAATTAAAAAATAAAAAAGAATGAATGCCACTCCTTCTCAAAGTTTTCCAAAAAATTGAAGGGGAGGGAATACTTTCAAACTCACTCTGTGAGGCCAGCATCACCCCGAGGCCAATGACAGATGACACTAAAAGAAGAGAACATTACAGACCAACATCCCTGGGGAATTTAGATGCAAAAATTCTCAACAAAACATTAGCAAACTGAATGCAACCACACATTAAACATATGTAAATCAATAAATGTTATACACCACGTGAATAGAATGAAAGGTAAAAATCATATGATCGTCTCAATACGCAGACAATACATTTCACAGAAGACAACATCCTTTCATGATAAAAACCCTCAACAAAGTACGTATAGAAGGAATATATCTTAACATAATAAAGCCTATATACAATAAGCCCATGGCTAACATCATACTCGTGGGTGAAAGGTTGACAGCTTTCCCTCTATGATTGGGAATAAGACAAAGACACCCATTTTTACCCCTCCTGTCCAAAATAGAAGCCCCAGTTCCTCACTCTACTTTTGTCAACACCTTTTGTCTGGTAACTCTTGAGTTCCTTCTTTAAAGGCAGAGTATAACTTTGACTGTAGAAAGGAGTGGGAGTGACTATGTGCCAATTCTCAGCCTAGCCTTTATGAGGCCTTGGGTGTATCTGCTTGCTGTTATGGCTTGGTCATTGCTGTAAGAGAATACTGGGCCAGCCTCTGGGACCTGAAAAGCATATGAAACAGAGCTGAGTCATCCCAGTCATGCCAGTATAGAGTAGCCTACATCAGACTATGGCCAGCCAGACTCTAGGGATCCAAGCCTATCCAAGATCAGCAGAACCTCCTAAAAACCACCCCATGCATGCAGAGAAAGGGGAACCCTCCTATACTGTTGGTGGGAATGCAAGCTGGTGCAGCCACTCTGGAAAACAGTATGGAGGTTCCTCAAAAAGTTGAAAATAGAGCTACCCTACGACCCAGCA